GTAATAGTGGTTTGAAAGACGAATTAGGGTCAACTGTGTGTCTTGTTGCCTTGAAATGTTTTGCAACAGATGACCCTGGATTTCTTGCAATCACTTGGCCATCATTTGTCGTTTGCGTCATCGATTTCACCAACCACTTTGGAATATGTTCGNTGCAGGTGAACTGGTATACAGTGCGTGAGACGGAACTGGTTTGCCAGCCATGTTTACGTTTGTCCAAATTGATTCCACGAGTGGAGGCGATGAGTCTGAGTTGAGCAGCTAGGAATGTACGGTCTAGAGCTGACCTCAACTTCTGGCGCACATCATTGTAAATGTGATCACCTTTGAACACGTTTGTTCACCAAATTTGATTAATCCCATGTACTATATATGTGCCTGTTTGTTTTAAGTCAGCGACTGAGAAGATTAAACGAAATGTTAACATCTCGCGACATTTGTCTTCTTTCTGTTTTAATGAAATATATATATATATATACAACTTATATCAGTGTTGAAATTACTGTTGTCATCGTTGCGTCTAATTGTTCCCCGGGAATTCATAGTTGGACAGACTATAGCTCAAATAGTTCAGCTTCCTATTTGTTCTGATCTCCTGCTTTGTTTCATTTTCAACGATGGAGACCCTTGAATCTACTGCTGGTGTTATAAGAGCCAATGTAGTCGCGGTTTATGAATGCATAATATGAACTCAAAATACTAAGGAACAACAGCGTAAACATTTCCTTAGGTTTATTTTTACACTGTCGGCTCTCTTGATTCAGCAATAATTGTTGTTTATCATAAACTCCGGAATTCGTAAAGGTGCTCACGCTCGTCGGTGCTTTCAGAATACAACGTTGACTAGGTTATCAAAGTACCGAAATTTTCTTTTAAAGGGTAACATGTGCGGCGGGTAGAGTGAGAAAATGAGCACCGTGAATAGCCGGTACATGCAAAGCGTATATCTGTCATTTTTGGCACCGCACTCAGTCTTCAAAAGAAAAGCACCCAATGATCCTTTCACTGTCAACTATTTAAGTGGGTGAAGTCATTAAAATAGCGACCTGGTGGTCCTGAATTCGAACCACATCACTATCAATAGTCATCCCGATTTAGGTATTTCCCGGGCACTCTTTGTAAGACTCTTTCTGAAAAATGATTGCATATTTGCACACTCAATGAGCAAAAGAGAAAGTAAAAACATTTAGTATTATTACATTACGTTATGCACGCATCTGTTTGCCTGAAATAGAATAGTTCGGATCAACGGAGGAAGAAACGTAATTTATAGTGTTAACACGTCCATTTGCTTCATGCAGTTCAGCTCAGTTCAGTTCAGTTTGAACAACCATTAACCATGTACTTTCGTGCTGTGGTTTCGGTTTGTTGTGTCTTAGTTCTCCATTTGGATGTGGGGGTAAAGGAAGAATTGGAATTTCGAAGGAAGTTCCAAGGTGAAAATAGAGAATTCATGTAGGTTAACTTTGCAAAGACATTGGGCAGATGAGCGAGCACCACTGTTTACGACACTCATCCATATTACTCACTGTCCACAACCGTTTATAACCGCTCTCATTCAAGAAGCCAAACGCTCTATGCAGTGCAACCCATTGATCAAGGTTACCAAAGCTCATGCACGGACTAGACATTTCGACTCATTCTCAACCGAGTGTTTGGCTGATGCAAAATACTGAATTAAGGTGGTATAAGTCAGAACACTGAACGCATAAATTAACCCCGTGCTTTTAGTTATTTTTCAGGGCAGTATACTCCGCACAACTAGGTAGCACACCGGTATCCCATTTCATTGAATGTACTGTGACATCTCGATGTAATAAACATCTTCAACTCTCTTTTATGGTAAAGGCTTTTCCGGTGATAATTCGTTCAACATGCACCTTACTTCACCAGGTCGGGAATTGCAAAACTTATTACGAAATGTAAATCATCATAGGAATGGGGCGCAAGCTGAAAAGCGAGGAAGCACTGGACAACAGTGCCTATCCAGTAGTCCAGCTGGGGCTCCAACTCGGAACCTCACAGACAGAACGCAAGCCTACTACCCACTCGGCCGCCGGGCAACTGATCAGACCGCTTTTCATTTTCAATATACACAATATAGCACTTGTTTGGCACATATGTAATCAGCTCATGACTATTTGAAAGGTATAAGCCACTGTTCATTTGTGAATAAATGGCAATATCTTTATATCTCCTTTCATTTTCGAGTGCTATTCTCAGATAACTCTCGATCGAGGTGAAAGTATCAACGTGTCTTCATGCCGATTGCAGTGATGGGTCATTAAATATATCGTGATATCTAGAGAGACCAAACGTAGCACATCATGAATAACGAGTAAGTTGATCACATAAACTACACTTCGCTCCACAAGCTCCGAAACACTAACCGTAACGGTTTACTTTCGAATCAACCCACAACCTAATCATGAGCGGAACGAAACCAGATCAATGCATCGGTTAGAAAGAACTTAGTTAACTATCATTCGCTCTGTTTGCACCCACTTGCATTTCACTCAATACCTAGTTTGCAACTTTTTACGGTCAGTGAGCCAACGCAATGTAAAGGCGATTTGGTTTACTTTTTGAATCTAGTTTCATCCTTTGTATTTTAAGTGGCATTTTTTTGGGGCTTTTTTCATGATGATCAGCAGCTTCCAATAGTGCAATGGTGTCAAGGTCATTTGCCTGTTCCGAAAAACGTAATTCAGTCGCAATCGGAATTTGTACCAGTAACCCGTGACCAAATTTCAGGCGTGAATTTCTTTGCTAGTTTGTATCTGGACCGGATCATATAACAAAAAATAGATATCTGTATTCAACCTATAATCTGGGAAGTTTCAGCAAGCTTCAGTCCATTGTAATGGAAAAAAGAAACGCACTTCATATTTTAGTCCTATGCGATGTCTCCTTCAAATGCATTCATTCATCCTCCTGTTCCTATTGGTCGTTCAGTTCCCTAATACGATTGATCTTGGATCACAGTGACCAACAATCCACCAACTTGTGACTAAGGTAGAGCGAGCTGATCGGTTTTTAGATTATCGTCAACCAAATAACGCATCCATCTCTATCATTCCATACATCGTGAACCCCATTCCGATTTTTCAACTGTCTTATCTGTTTCCTTCTACTGTATTAAGTTTGGGGACCATAGCAACACTGCACATCTATATTCGGATCAGAACCAAGTTTTACTTAAAAGAAACGGAAGGAATTTCAGTAAGTCACACTGCATCAGAATGAACCTACAAAAATTAATCAAATGTACCCAATCTACCACAAACCTCAACGTTTTCAAACAAGCGGAAAGCGAATGGTTTGAACCATCCATGTAAATTCTCGTATTCTCTTTTCATCGCTCTGCTGTTAAACCCTAGGTGAACAAGGTCAAGGAGGATGTAGAGCAATCAACCCTTTGAAGCTCTTCTGGCCTGCGAGAACACAGTACTTTTAAACCTTACTGCAGGTCGACAGGCGTAGGCAACAGTCATTCAAGATTATCTTCGGAGCTGTCGTGTTCTCATGATCGTTTTCAAACAATTGGGATTAGTCTAATATTCTTACAATGAAACGTATAAACAATTTTATATATAAAAAGGCCATTAGTGTTATGCAAGATGTCTGCTGCAGCAACATTTCTTTCGCATTTCATCAGTTACTTCATGCGAATTACAACTGGACATTATATATGTTCATGGGGTATGGTGACAAATAGATTTAAAGGGGAGATTCATACTTGTTCATGAGACAGTGTAACTAGTTTACCAACACCTTTTTCTCTTATTTGGAATACAGATGAGTGGAAAATTGTTCGCAAATGGGTGAGAATGACGTGTTAATGTGTGCGTGTGTGTTTGTGTGTTTCAGAAGGTATAAGGCGTTTCAAATTCTATATATCTTTTCTCCGTGTTATGTTTATTTGAGGACCAGTCCATGTTTCATAGACAGATATTTTTTGCCAGTAGCTCTAACTGTGTTCCTTTTTGTCATACCAAACACCAACGTTCAACAGGTAGATTCAACCGAGTTTG